TTGTGCCATAAAAACCAGATTGTGCATTATCAACCTTTCGCTTAGTGCCTCAGGTGTCAACATTCAAATCATTATTATATGAAGTTATTGTTTCAAGCATGTAAAGATTGTCATATGACATAAAAGAACCAGTCCCCACAATATTTGAATTTAAAGACAAATTAAACCGGAAGTTTCCAAAGGAACAATGATAACCTAATTTGTCCAAATAAGAAACAGAAACCAAATTCAACCTAAATGACGGAGCAATATAAGTGTCTTTTAAATCCAAATAGAAACCGGTAGATAATAACAATCTAAAATGCCCAATAGCCTCCACATGCACCGCTTTGCCATCTCCCACATAGACACATCTTTCAGCATCATTTGGCTTGCGGTGGCTCAGACAACCCTGCATAGAAATACTGATGTTAGATGTTGAACCGTAGTCTAACCACCGAGTATTTCTAGGCACCGAAGCTAAATTATTTTCAGTACAAACCAAAGCAAGGACCGTACCTTTCTTCACTTTCCATGCGTGATACTTGGTACAATCCTTCTTCATGTGTCCAGACTTCTTATAGAAGAAACAGGTTGTTTTACCTTCCTTATGTTTCATCTGTACTGGACCCTTAGCAGCTTCATTCTTAATGGGAGTTTTCTTCCTCTTTTTACCCTTATCCTTAGAGGTACTAACCAAGTGAGCACTTTCAGTCTTATTTTGTTTCATCCTCTCTTCCTCTTGCACGCAATATGAAATGAGCTCATTAAGAGACCACTTCTCCTTTTGGCAGTTATAACTAACCTTAAAAGGATCAAATGCAATTGGAAGAGAGTTCAAGACTATGTGTACGGGAACATCTTCCGATATCTCAATCCTAAGTGTCTTGAGCCTAGAAACAATATAAGACATTTCCATAATATACTCCCTTATATTTCCTTTTCCTGAATACCTTTGGAAGTAAAGTCTTTTAACAACACGCTTATTTCCGCCTTATCGTTTTTAACAAAACGTTTATCAATTTCAGTAAGGAAATCCTTGGCATTAGTAACCTCATCGGATACAGCACCCCAAAAGATTCTGGAATGCCACGCTTTATGATCATAAGACTTTAGTGATTCGAGCGATCCTACTTCTCATAGTACCTTTTTTCATCTTGGATAGTAGCATCCGTAAGAGAAGCGGGTTGCTCTACCCTTAATGCTAAGTCAAGTTCCATGCAGCCCAAAGTTATTAGAATATTTTCTTTCCATTCCTTAAAGTTAGTTCCATTTAGGACATGGATGAAGTTGAGATTGGCAGATATGCTCGAAAAATTAACTGTAGAAAGAACAAGGACAATGAACATATGTTTTAGTGAAATTGTAAAATAATTTTTAACCCATCACAAGATCCCAAATGCACCCTTAGTATATCATCTTTGGACAATTATACTAATTGCTAGCGGTACTCTTGTTGTAACAATAAAATATAACAATAATACATATAAAAGAAAATTCCACCTTTGGGTTGACTTTTTCTTTTAAAGTGCAACCTCATAATTGTTATATATTTATTATTACCAAAATGTATATATATATCTTGATAAAATATTAATCTTCCTTTGGGCCGATTAATATTTACTTGAACTATATACGGAGTATATGCTATGTTTAATATTTTATACGAGCAACTTACACAATAGGATCACTTTGGTGACATATTGTTTCTCTATACTCATTTAAAATATTAAACTCCTTTTATTTTACAATTTCATCGCAGTCCGAAGAAAATTCCTTTCATAATTCTACTTAAAAATAAATTGCTTACAACAATTGACTTCTAATTGAATCGGCAAATATGATCACCGGCAATTAAATTCTTGAGAATTAATCATCAACCACGACTTAATTCACGTTTCACAATATTTGAAAAATATGAGAATATCATGAAAGCACAATCAAATTTCCATTCGGACATACACAATTCATTTCAGTTGTACCATATCAATTAAGCTTTAAAATGATGACTTCATCATTCACAATATAGTAGCATATATACGTATAAGCATGTATGCTAATAGAGTCATTGGATTAAATTGCACCGTAGCATATAAATGACATAAACGGTTTCATATTGCTAAAAATTAAGGTGTCCACTACGTGTAACAATTGGATTCAATTAGCACCATATATAAATGTATACGTGTAAAACTAATGGTTTAACACTACATTTGTATTGTATTATATTCATGCTAAGAATTAACTCCAAGCGGTGCAAATGGCACGAAGAAATTAAATTAAGATATAATCATGAAATGAATTGTATATCAAAACTTGGAAATAAGAATCGAAGCATTGAATTGCTTGATAAAAAGAAAAAAGAACTTGAGAAATGAATCGGTAAATATAAACATATATGCAGCGGAATACTGAATCGGCAATAAAGGGGAGGAAATTTTTACGGTGCACTCACGTTGTAGCCTGCTTTGGTGCATTTCACAGCTGGCTTTATTTTATTGGCTATTTATTCCAACTCACATATCTTAGATATAAATACTTATATTTAACATACTTTGACATGGATAGTTAAAAGAAATGCTCCGTAATAATCTATATACTACGTATAACATAAAGTAATAAAATCGCTACAAATTTTGGCTGCAAAATATCCGCCCAAAGTGAAATGTTTTGTGCCTTAATTAGTTATCCAAGGAAAATGAAAAAATGAGGCAGTTTATATAAGCTTACTGTTTTTTACTACTTCTTCTCGAGGGTCTTCCTTTCTTTTTTCTCGATTGTGTACTATTTGTTGTCAAGGGTTGAAAAGAGGCGGCCGAGATCTGATTGGAAAATGCACAGTCATGACCCATGGTTTGTATATTTTTATACGAGTATAATATACGGTTTTTTAGAGCATCTTTAATGGTACATTGTTAACATGATGTAAATTTTGACACTTGGCAATCAATAAGTGGAATGTTCATCCATGTCACATAAGAGTGATTTAATTAGACGGTGAACTCCCAAAATTTGGTCCAGTGCTTCATGTCAATGTTCAAACTCATAAGCATATGTGTGGAGGGTTAATTTTAAATAAAATAAAATAAAATACAGAGTAACCCACTAAACCCCTACATATTCGGCAATGAGTTGCTTGAGAAACCCACTACTTCAGTTCGTGGTTTATTTATTGGTGTTGCCCAAACGTTTTTTCGGTAGTTCTCCACCAAATTGATGAGTCATCATGTGAAATATGATGTTATCAAAAGACATTCATGTTAACATTGTTTACGTTATTTTTTTACACGTAAGCATAACTTGAGTTTAGACAAGCTGCATTGGAGACAAAAATGCTAGTAGAAATGTTTACATCGATGATGTAGCAATTATTATTAACGTGAACGATATCCCATTGGAGATGCTCTTAGATGGCTTTGAAAAGATGGGTGGGCCCCACATCTTTGTCGCCGACTCAAAAGTCCATCTTTTGTCATGGCAAAGTATGGAGATTTTTTTATTACTCGTACATTACATTAGGAGTACTAGCTCTAGCAGTCTAGCACTCTAGCTTTGAAGAAATAATTACTGTGTTCTAAATATGGATTTCATTTGATATAATTTATTTAGTGATGGACGATGATTTAAAAGAATGATGCGATTGTTGCGAACAGCTGGAATAAATACGGAGTATATTTTATTTAATAAATCCCACATTAAAAAACGGTATTTTTATTTTGCTAGGATAAATATGATAAATTAATAATAATTGAAATAACTATAAGCTTATGATTAAAGTAAAAAAAAATATAAAAAATTGACCTTTTAAGTGTAGTAATTATATTTGTGATTTTAGTCATATTTATATCATTATATGTGACATTTCACTCAATTTTGCATGAGTTACAACAATACTACAACATTATAACTTTAATCACATTTTTATAAATAATAAGTACACTTAATTAATTTAAGTGACAACATTATGATAACATAGTAACTTTAGTCATACTTTTATAAATATGTACACTTAAGTGATGACAGTACTACAACCTAATAACTTCAGTCATACTTTTATAAGTAATTTTTATTTGAGTTATATATACTTTTGAAAAAAATCTTGATAGTTTTGACTTCCAAATTTAATTTTATAAATTCCACAGTATATATTCAGAATAATCTCGAGATATAAGATGTTCAATTATGAATTCACTCTTTGCAGGCTTTAAACCATATTGTTTGCGCAAAGCCTGATTTTTATTTGATCTAATACATATATTAAAGTTGTTACAAATGCCTCAGTTTATGACCACACGAGTGTCTATTAAATAACTAAAATGAAAGTAGTCCTTATAAAATGAAATCAAAACAAAAGTGCATCCTCCCTTGGCTAGTTAGTTAGTTCAACGTTTATCAATTAATAGGAGAAACTTATTTAAGATGTTTAATACAAATAAAGAAATAACAAGTTATAATCCAAAGTCACATCAAGAGGTGTGATCATGTAAGAAAAATAAATATGTTGCACACCTCTTTTCCCACTCCCTTGCATTGCAAGAAGGAAAAATACAACAGAAGTAGTTATACTTGTTTATATATTAATAATATTATCTATCAATTTTTTTATTAAAGAACATTCCAATGATAGAATCTTTATCTTAAAGACAAATATAGAAATTAATGGTGCATTAAACCCCTATGAATCAAAGAGTTAGGTTCTATCTAAATCTCCAGTTTATGTGTGCATGTTGGGTGCATGTTTTGTGCATATATAGTAGCAAATATAAAGTTTGCAGGATATTTCATGTTTTCTCACTTTTAAAGAACTCACAACAAGTCAAACATTCATCAACAATTATGTGATGAATTATATGCGCTAGATTGTTAGAGCATTGCCCATATAGTGCTCATTTAAAACACCACATTGAGATGTTTTCTGTCAGTATCTATTTTCACGAATTATGTTCTTCAATGAATAAGTTTCTTAAAAAAATGAATAAGTTTGCCCCCATTAATAGCATTTTCACTGAATGTTCATATGAAAAAGTCACGCTGATATAGAAAAGATAACTATCTAAATATCTTTGGCATGCGCAACGATAATAGTTACATGTCATGATATGCTTCGGGAATTAATAAAGCTATAAAACTAATAATGGGTGACAGACATTACAAGACTAGATGCACAATTTTCTCAATTAAGCATGACTAAGACTTTACATAGCTGTTGCAGATCTAGTAAGTTGTCTTAGTGCATTAGCAATCTCTTCCGCCTTTGCATCCCCCCTTATATGGGAAACTAAGGAACTTTCTTGCGGAACTATGTCCTCTCTGTGCATGCAACTTCCTAATGTTCTTACTAACTCCTCTGATCCTTTCTCCACGACCCCCTTCAATATCAAGGTTTTGTGAGTCCCGGCTATCAATTCCTCATAGTCTGTGTCTCCAGTCTCCCCAAGAATCACGTACATATTGGCCACATTTAGTCTCCAACGTACAAAGAGGTACCTAAAGATATATAAGTGTTGGCTAAGTGAAGTTGTGCAAATCAGTAAGTTGCATGAAGATTAATTGATTATGCTCGGATTAGTGTTAGGGAAAGAGGATGATATTACCTCCATTCCCTAAATGAATGAATTAGTACTTTCCAATTCATTAAGTCCATGTGATAACATTCATCTACTTTTCGTGAACGATTCTCGATCCGCAACATCAATTATTTGTACGTGCATACTATACAACCACTTTTCACATTAATATACTTTGTAGAAAAAAATCAAATCGATTGCTACTCTCTTTGAAATTATATAAAATATGGTTTTGAAAAAACTATTCCATGCCAAATTTGCAGAAATGCAACACCTAAAACACAAAGGCATAGCATTCTTAAAATAATTCTTTATTGAGCACTGTGTGCGTTTCATCAAAAGAGAAGATATATACTCTTCCTAGGGATGGAAATAAATCTTCAGTCCAACATGAAGTTCTTTTTACTACAATATAGTCGAATCTAACGGCTGAGATTCATGCTCATTTCTCACCTAAAAGATTCTTCTTATTGGAACCTGACCCTATATATATATATATATATATATATATATATATATATATATGAAATGAGAAAATGAGAAAATATAAGATCATTTCTCTTCTAAGATCATTTTCTCATTTCATATATATATATATATATATATATATATATATATATATATATATGAAATGAGAAAATGATCTTAGAAGAGAAATGAGAATGAATCTAGACCGTTAGATTGTTTTTTGTGAAATTGAATGTGCATTAGGTGAAACTTAAATGTGCATTAGGTGAAGTCGGAATGTGCATCACAATAGGTACGCCATACGCCATAATGACATTATTTGAAGCTGAATTGTGCATTAGATTAAATTTAAATGTGCATTAGGTGAAACTGAATTGTGCAAAAGAAAAGACATGATGCAGTGACATTTTTTTTCTTTTATTCTGCACATTTCAATTTCACGTAATGCACAATTGAGTTTACCTTCTATTCTGCACATTTCGTTTTCAGTTTAATGCACATTTCAGTTTTACCGAATGCATAATTCAATTTCACGTAATATAATCTGATGGTCCATATTCATTCTTATTTTAGACATTCTCTTGTGTGATAATTTAAAGTAACACAGACTTAAATTTTATGACTACATATAATTCCGTATTAGATATTTTCTCTTAGAATTATACAGAGTACAAAATCAATAAGAAGTTACACCTTCGTTTTTGTTAAAGTTATACTTTTGTTAATATAAATTATATTTCACACGTAACAAATAAAGATTTATTTTCGGGTGATATCTACATATGATTTCATACTAGTATTAGTTACTTTTTCTTAGAATCATATTTGTTAAAACAATCGATAAGAAGTTATATCTTTTGTGTTAAAGTTATATTATTGTTTACTATAAAATATATTTCACCCATAATAAATAAAGATTTATTTTCATGTGATATTTTCCCTACATCACTATATACTACACATATTGTAAGAGTACCTAAGTGCTTGAGCCCGAGAAGCAAGAAGAGGAATGACTTGCATCCTTGTTGAATTCCGGCAGTACATCAGATGGCAACGTAGGCCCCTCATTCTCAGCTTCTGTCTCATGTCATCTACTCTCTTTGCCTATAAAATCAGCACAGAAAATGTTACGTAATGTTTTAAGTTTTTTTTGCAATTATGTCATCACTTAGTGTTTCTTTTTGTTCTTGAAATAAAAACATATGTAAATGCATGTGTGTGTATCACCTTACTCAGGTCCTTTATCAAGTAGGACAAACAATGAATATTGCTTCTTGAATTTACACTCTCTTCAATATAAGTAAGTGATTCAGAATTTTCAACTTCTGTATTCATTAGTTTCCAAAGAGTTTTCCTTAGACCATCACCACCCCATCGATATTCAATATGTGTGGCATAATCAGGATCCAGAATGGGCTTTCCATCAATTTCGTTATTGGTGTTGGGATAATAAACTTCACTGCCACTACTACAAATTAAGACATCAAAATGAGTGACTTTAAGATTCCCTGATTTCAGAAATTCTATCAACTCTGACACCGGCATGGCAGTTGATATAGCAAACCCCGATAATCTTGCAATCTCCGAATCAATATTAATAGCTTTGAAGACTTCTTGAATGATGCTAATCATTTTCATTTCCGGATTTCCCTTAGAGTCATAACAGTCCAGAGCTAAAACAATCAATTTATGTAGTTGTCTCAACATCGGATATTTGTTGAGCATATTGTCTTTCCTTTCAACTTCATAGTGATTCTGATGAGTGATTCCAACATTTGGTTTCTTTATTTTGCCAAGAACTCGCTCAACCTGGTCTTGTAGATCTTGGCTATCAACGACTTCAGTTTTTGTATCAAGATATTCATTAAGTGAAAAAGTTTTTTCACCGTCAGCTGATAATCTCAAGGACATGTCCTTTACATCTTTGAGTGAGTCATTCAATGATTCTTTTGCAGCCAACTCCTCTATCGGAGTGTTTGTCTTCCATTGTGGGTGTCTCATGCGACACGCGGCTATCCTTGCCAAGTATGTGCGACAATGTTCCGGCCATGAAAAGAGGTGTATGTTCTTCCAACCTCTTTTGCGATACTCCATCCACAAGTTCTTTTCTGATACTAGCTTTAGAAGGGCATCGGCAATTGCTTGATGATCATGAGGGTCAACGAGCACACCATTATGTAGTACCTAAGAACATAAAGAGGATATTCATTATCAGGAAGATATCCACTTCCTTCAGGAGTTGATATATAGACTATTTGTAACACACTTCTTTATATAAATTAAAACATTAAACATGTTTGATAATCATGTTTGATAATCATGTATGAGGAACAAAAGGATGTGACCATGTAAAAAATGACTTTAAAAATTTTTATAATTGGTAAATGGTACTCCTAGGATGAATGGAGTGTGAGGATTACCCGGATAATATCAACTGGGCCGCCATTTTTAGTTGCCACCAGAGGGAGTCCATGTGCTGCAGCCTGCAATATTTAAATTAAATATTAACATGTTATTAAATATTAAATATTTAAGGAGGTGGTCATAATGCATGATGTGCATGTATAAAATATAGTCAATACTAATCATGCATTGAGACATGAATATGATGATGACGATCGGTTTGGACAAAAAAATATGATAATTTTGATTGTTATTGAATGAAACTATAGTGTTAACTAACTTTAGCCAATTAGTATTCATTTCATTTTCATTTCATTTTCATTTACCCCAGTGCCGCAAAGGCTCCCACCTACGGTAGGGTAAGGGGGGTCGGATGTACGCAGTCTTACCCCTGTACTACTAAATTTCATGGCACCAATTCAAACATAGTATGGAACATGGTGATGATAATGGAGATCATGCTTTTTGAGGAGAGAGAGAGCAGACACATGACAAACCTCAATTAGTGTAAGTCCGAAAGGCTCAATGAAAGCTGGGTTTATGAACACCCCCTGCAATTTAATTAATGATTAGTTTCATCTTAAAAGTAACTCCAAAACAAGTAAAGGTACAAGCTATAACTTGGAACCTTTGTTTTGGCTGCAAGGCGATAAATATCAGGGACTTCACTTTGCTTGTGATGTTTTGGGAAGGCTACTTGTCCATAGAGGTCATACTTGTCAATTAGCTTAAGAACTGTTGTGAGCACACTAGCACTGCCAGCTGACATTTCATCTATATCATCCCTATTTCCCATTATAAGAGTCTGTATTGAAAGCATTCATCATTTCTATTAACAATGATTATAAATTTATCAATCACTACAACATTTAGTACATAGTGGTCCTACTTACAAGATTAGCGAGTTCTCGTAAGGGACGACATTCTCCAAATGCTTTCACCAAGGTGGTAAGATTCTTTTTTGGATCTGGCCTTGACAATGCAAGAATCATTGGCTTGTGTGGATTTACAAGAAAACGCATCACCTGCAGCAAGTGTTACCAATGAGAAAAGTGTACATGAAATATATATAATACATATATAATAATAAGAGGTTTTTTTTCCCAAAATAATACTAAAATAATAATCAAGGAAAAATATATCTAAATAATGATCACTACCCACACCACTATAGTCACTAAGCCATTCAAATATGGTCACACCATGCATTAAAAAATTACAAATTTATCCATGACTATTTAATACGTAGTATATTAGTATTTATTTCATTATTTCTAATATTAATGCTTTGATATGTTCATTTTGATAGTACTTTGTTAGTAAAACAAGAATACGCAGGAACATAATTTTTTAATTAGTTAGAATAGAACAAATAATTAATCAGAAAATGGTGGTCATAAAACAAAATTTGATTGAATAGAATGTACAAAATCATTGCTGACCTCTGAAAATATAGTAGGCATTGCTTTAGGAGATGACCCATCAGAGGTAGTAAGTGAAGAAAGTTCAACATCCATTTCAGTTGCCTCTTCTTGAACAACCACGTTGCCGAAGTCCATTCCGGGAGGAATAACCTGAAAGCAATTTCTATGCAATCTTTATTTGTGTGTGTTTCTGTATTATACACCGACACAAAGCTACAAGCTTTTGCCAATACACTATATATTCATATGTAGTAAGATAATCAAACTTAACGGAAGTGAATTATATGAGTTTCATGATCCTACTTGAATATATAGGTCTTCTGTTTAATTCAGTGTAATCCTATGAAGAGAAGAAACACTAAAATTCTTTATAATTTTGTTGATAGTCAAATTTCTAATGGAATTAGAAGGCCACTTTTTCCCAATATTTCTACAGGAATGTAATTAATGTTTTTAGTACATCTACATGTCATTAAATAATTGTGGAAGGATTCTAATGTTAAGTTTCAAGCAAGTAGGGAGCGGTACTTACCTCCATCCTAGGCATATAACGACCATGACAATTGACTCCACGTCTTGCACGAGCCCTCAAAATTTTCTCGATTTTGACATCAAACCCATCATATAGTCCCCATTGTTCATCAATTTCCTGCCTAGTGCTTGTGATAACAAGTTCAGCCGCATCAAGAGAAAGCTCTTCTGCCTCAATCCTCCGCATTATTCGATAAGTGGAATTAATATCCTCTTTGGACTGCCTTCCATGTTTCAAAAGTTGCTCAAGCTTGTTTCTTCCGAGTGAATGTCCAGTCAGAACCATGGGAACATTTAAAGCACCGGAAAGAAGAGCAACACTGTCCCCAGCATCAGCATAATGACCATGAATCACGTACGGCCAAATAGGTTGTTGTTTCTCGTCATCATGACCAATTTGTTCACCCAATGTCTTGGACATATTCAAGATGTGTGTTAGAGCTCCATCCACAAACTCCTGAATGTGAGGCCACAACACCTCTTTCCTAAGGTATTTGTCACGAGGACCGAAAGGTATTCTTATAATATATGCCCCACCACTTTCTCCAATTTCGCCGCCACCATCACTATCACCACCTTCTTCTGATGGACAACCAATATTCAACATTTCTGCAGGCTCACCATAGCTCGAATCAACTTCCGGCGAGGAAACTTGACGGGTTAGCAAATCCACCCTGTATACTTCAGGCATTTTAGCAAGTGCCTTAGCAAGTTCCACTACGTATTTGATCTGATGAACAAATTATCAGGTGCAGTTAGTGGAATTGTGGCTTATTTACATGCAAATATAGATATAGTGTGTGTTCTTTGAAAAAAAAACTATGGTGCATATAATTATATAGTAAGTCACCTGACCACCAGTATCAGAATCACGACCAAGCTCCATATTTTCACCACGAACTAAACCATGCAAACTTGTAATAAAAAAGAGATACATGCATGAGTATGTACATTAATTAAGTTTGAAACATATTGGTTACAAATAAACTAGCTACTTGCACGGATTAGCAATTTAGAATTTTTTAAATTTGATTCATAGCAGTTAAATCTTCTTTAAGTGCAGGTATTTGATTTACACACATACCTTACAAGAACAATATACAACTTCTTTTCCTTATTAGAGTCAGATAATGCTTCCAAAGTGGACAAGTTTCGTTGGATCTTCTTTCTAGGACTATCAAGTGTAATTGTCTCCCCGCCACATACATCTCCTTCTGACAAGTTTTCAGACATGTCATCCTCTTTTACATCTTTATGCCCTTGTTCCCGTTCCCATCTCCTATTTGCTAACCTTTGGATGTCTTCCAATTCCAACTACAAAATAAACAAGTATAACAATTTGATTATTAGTAAATTTTAATACTCTCTGGAAATGCAGCAAACACAAGTGTTTTTCTGTGAAAGCATTCTAGTAAGACTAAAATGTCGCCTTAATACTCCACACTACATATTTGCATTGAAAGAACCAGCATGTCATTGTTGATGCTCAGTACAATAACTACAAACAAACTATATGTGTGGAAGTTTGAATCAAGAATATAAAGTAAAATTTAAATAATCAATCTGAGAGCAACTGACAATTACACACCCATGTTTTTGTGTAATATACTACATGTTCCTTCACTTGATTTTTTGTATAATATACCATTAGTACATAACTCTTCATTTTATGTATTAATATCAATATTCTAAAAGGCACTAGTGCAGTCGGGCGGTGACTAGCCACATAGCGGCTAGCGCTAGCCCGCCTAGGTGTCGACAAGGGTTTCTCTTTATTTCATTGTTTTATTTTTATTTCCTATCAATTATAATGTTTTGTCAGAAATAATTTTAGAATAACATTACAATAGAAATAGCTCAGCTCATATACTTATTAAATGTTATGTAAGAAGCTGGTTGCCGGAAGCGAATATGATGTGCAAAAAAAATTATTAAATGTTATATTTTTTTAGTAAAATTATCAATGATGAAATAATTAATAGTTTTCTAATCGAAATAAGAGGTTTGTGCTTTTTGGCTACTAAAAAGTTCAAAACATTGTTTAAAAAAATTATATATTTAAAATTTATTTTTATTGTTGTAGAATAAAAATAAAATTTAGAAATATACTTCAGACAAAACAAAGAAAATAAGTTGGATCAGAAATAAATTTATTTAGGGCCACCTAGGAACCACATTCCCCTCCTAGGTGTCGTCCAGGAGCCCACTACTTTTTCCTACCGATCTCAATGAAATCAGAACGTTCGGCCACGACCCAGTGTCTGGACGGGTGCCGAGGCAAATTTAAGAACCATGATTAAAATTGATTAAAATATCCTACTTGACGTCTTGGATCCTAATTAGTTTAGGTTTAAAAGTTTATGCACAAAACCAAAGTTAAAAAAACTTAACATAATTTAAACTACTTTTGTTTTAACTTAATGCATAGTAAATATATGATTAATTAATCAAGTCCATGTTGGTATCAATTAATCATTTGATTGATTACCCGCTTCTTCTTACGAGTGAGGTGCCAGATTCGCCAACACATGTTCTCGAGACGAGCACTGCGCTCTAATGTGTTCCTGGTAGCCACTACTTTGATCCATGTGCGGTAAAGGTCGGTCTCATCCACCCCTGTCACAACCTCCTCCACGAAGTACTTGGTCGGATCGAAAATCGCCCTTTCCCTCAGGTTAACCAGAGACGGCCTGTTTTCCACCTCAATCGCTGATGCGCCGCTATCAAGTATCGCCTCTAGGTACCCGTTAATCCACTCATTTCCGGCCATGTTCAAGAAAATCCTTAGACAGGGCACAAGAACAAATAAAAAATAAAGGGGGTGGGGGTAATTTTATTCAGCCAGGAAAGGCGTAATTAGTTGAGAGGAAAGTGTTTTAATCTCAAAATGGATGGTCGATCGTTTCGGTTAGGGGGGTACATATATATAGTTTAATGAGTTGTAGATGTGGAGGAGGATCATGAGGCGGTTGGTGGCATATGTATGTAGTTATACATGATACTAGTAGGCAAAATTTGAGGCCCTTTGAAAAAGACGGAAGAAAAAGAGGACGGTCTTTTTGCAAATGTACGTACATGTTCACATCACATGCGTTGAGGTGTACGGTTTCTAAATCGTTGTGGGTGTTGCTTGCCACGTGTGATTGTATGTTCTCATTTTTGTGTGAACATGAATCAATGAGAAGGTTATAATTTAATTATGGTTATCATTGAAGCGGTAGATAAAATATGAGCTTTTATTCTTTACTCACCATGATTATATTGAGTTTTACATACAGTGAAAATGATCGTACATGCATAACCATTTTAACCACATCTTCATTCATATATTTTATTTTAGTACGTAGTAATATTTGAGGAAAAACTTCTTCAGTCTCCTTTCACAATTTCACTTTTTATATTTCTTCAATACTACCGTACACATCAACAATAATGTCCAAGCGTTACACTCACAAGACAAAAATAATTGACATTGTAAATATATAAATGGGTTATATGGATTTCGTTAAAAACAAATAATTGTATAAGTTTTGATTGACCAGTCATCTACAACGACATATCTACATCAACGAGGGATTATCATCATCTTAAATGATGAGTCAACAATATAATTGCTCAACCACCCATAATAATTATCATTCCTGTTGCCGCTAGTAATTCCAACCAACACATGAGAGAGTATAATTTAATGTTTGTAGATGACTTAATGTTGCCGCTCGTAGTCACAATATTTAATTATCGATATTATAATAAGGAAACAATAATCGTATTCTATAAGAAATCTTTATGGTTAAAAATACACATGCGATAAAGGAAAAGTTTCCAAAATAGGACTAAAAAAGTTTGAAAATTCCAAAATAGGACTCCCATGTTTTTTATTTCCAAAATATGAGTAATTACTGCAAAGTTTGGAAAATACTGTCATGTTTGAAGTTTGGTACTGCCAAAACATGGCAGTAATTAGTCTTATTTTGGGAATAAAAACATGACAGTCATATTTTGGAATTTTCAAACCTTTTTAGTCCTATTTCGGGCAATATTCTCTAAATAATACTACCCCCGTCCCGAAAAGAAGTTTTCGCTTCCTTATATGGATGTCCTAAAAAGAAGTTCTCATTTTGATAAAAGAAACCCACTTTTAACCCAAAAGCCACAACTACCCTTACTTTTTACTCACTTTTTGCTTAATTTGATTATAAAGTAAAGGCATACTTGGAAAGTCAAAACAAAGTTCTACCTTACATAAATATGTGTGTAGGTCAAACCGGGAACTTTATTTTGGGACAGAGAGAGTATGATTTATTGTTCTTTTTACAAAACAATTGCAAGCTTGACCCTATTTTAGCAACCATTAAGGAAGCAGTTTCAGCTCACTTAACCTCAGGTCCCCTATCCCCCTAAACCCCTTAGGGTAAAAACAAGTTCTCATTTTAAGATGAGTTCTCATTACAAACTTTCAGTATATATACAAACCTGCATGCATGTGTGTGTGTATTACACATATAGATATATGTGTGTGTGTAGATAAGGATCAAAGACAAACACCTAATTTACAAAGTTTAAACTCATCTTGGTCATCCATTGAATTAATCTAAAGTCTCGAATCGCACGGTGACATTTTAGTAATAAATCAAACTTTTTTCGGATGCAACTCTATGAACGCTAATATGCAACTGTTATTTCATTGCACAATAATATACAACATTTTTCAATAAAAAAATACAATAATTTGAACCTCAATGTATACAAAAAATGCCCTTATATGTGTATACACACACACATATTGAAAGAAAGGAAACATTTTTATTAAGGAAAAGCAAAAACAAAGTACAATATGAAAAGAAAATTAAAACGACAACAAAAGGAAAGCTAAAAATAAGGAAAATGTTCAACCCAAAGTACACATATTTCCCTCTCAAGAACCCCAAATCCTCTAAACCTACATTGATAAACCTCAATGTTCCTTGCGAGTTTGGGAACACATTCTCATGCGGACATGCGGTGTGAGTGTGGACTCCTTTGTCTATAAATTTACACACACACACAAATATATATATATATATATATACACACACACACACAGAAATGCTCAGGTCCAGCCGGAGGGACGGGAGCAGCCGTCCAAACTTCACTGTTTGGGGCGGTACCCGGTGGAATTTTTCGATGAAATTTTTTGAGCATTTTCCTCATCAAGTCTAGTTTCTCCATACCAAATTTAAGCTCAAAATTCGACCGGGAAGGCAGTCAAATAAATTCTTGAAGCTTACTGCACATTCTGCGCATATATAAAGTGCAGTAAGTTTCATGAATTTATTTGACTGCCTTCCCGGTCGAATTTTGAGCTGAAATTTAATATGGACAAACTAGACTTGATTAGGAACATGCTCAAAAAATTTCATCGAAAAATTCTACCGGAAACCGCCCCAAACAGTGAAGTTCGGATGGCTGCTCCCGTCCCTCCGGCTGGACCTGAGCAGTCCTCTTTATATATATATATATATACACGGTCCCTAAGAAGTCAATGAATAATACCAAAAAAACGAAACACAAAAGGAAATCATGAGATGCTGCAAATCAAGCCATTATCTTAGCAGATCTAAGGAAAAGACTGTCAACAACCTTTCCCATGTTTGAGACTGTGTCCAACGTGCCTGATAAGTCCCATCTGTCATGGGATCATCAAAGATGACGAGGCATCCAACACCCTGATACACACACATTTAATATATACGTGTGTATGTATATTGAAGGAAACATTTTAAAAAATGTTGGAACATTTATCAAAATTTATTGAAGAAAAGGTCAAATAAGCCTTTTTATTACTTCTCATCTGTCACTTAAGCTCATGTACTAAAACAAGTAGGGAAATTTACTATTAACCCCCTGAGGTTATGCCATAATTATTAATGCAACTTTGCGTTTTCAAAAATCAATTAGTTATCCCATGAGTTTGGATCATTATCATTCTTTGCCCCTCACGTTAATATTTGTCAAATTTAAATTTAATAAGATTCTTAAATTCAATGAAAATGTCTATAAAATTAAGTATGCCTACTTTACAAATGGATCAATTTGACAATTTAATCAGTTTTTGATCTGCAATAGTATGTTTTTAATATTTAAAAACTCTAAACAATTGTTAATTTGAAGAAATATATACAAAAATTGTGAACATTTTCAGAATATCAAAGTAAATATTTTATAATTGTTAAAAATAATAGTATATTCTACATCTATTTAAGAGGTTTTTAAAATTTTTATTATTATTTTTTTTATTGTCACTTTATTTTTTAGTTTTATGATTATTTTATTTTTATTATAGATTAAGTTTTTTTAGATTTTTTATCTGTTATAAATTTATACTATTTTTATATTATTATTAGATTATTTTTTCAAATTTATATGAACTTTTGTAAGATTATCAATATTCCTAATTTAATTTTAAAAAAATAACATGCTAAAGTAGGTCAGATTTCTTTATTGATTGTAAATTAAATGTAGACGTGCTTATATGATACTTTTTTAGTGCATGGGCTTATGTGACAAATTGGAAATAGTAGAAGAGTTTATTTGACCCTTTTTTCTAAAATTATTTATTACCATGAAAAAGGAAATTGAGGGAACATAAGACCTTACCCAAAAGTTATCGAGGATTACAAGAAATGAATTGAAGAAATAAACAAAGATTCCAACCTGGGTACAATAGATAAGAGCTCAAACAATATACGGTCAATGATTTCTATTTAGATCCAATGACCACAAATTAGATAAGGAAGTTTTTTTCATTGAAAAACTTTATCGGACGATGTCTAGCACATGTGTGCGAGTTAAGATGCTATATTTTATGAACGAACTGACTAAAGGATATTACCAATTAGGGAGTGTAATACGGGCACACAGAGCGAGGAGTATTGATGACCGAGTACGTATTTCCTGAGCAAGTTTCAAGGACAAAATCTGCATAACCTTCTATAATAGCCCCACCTTATAGAAGTAAAGACATTTTACTAATCTTTACAAACTAAAAAATCTCAAAATTGGCCAGGATTCATTACGAATCTAGATAGGAAAAAGAAGAGCAAACACCTACTATACTGGCAATTATTATTCCTCACTATTGAACTATCACATTGATTAGGAGAATGAAATTGATCTTTAAAAGGAAGAGGATTGTAGTGATCATATGCAGGTAGAGGGTTTATTAGAATGAACAAAAGTGCATTGAATCGTGTGTTGAACAAATAAAATTTTGTAATTTATATAGTTCCCTAAAGAGATGAGGACCAAAAATGAAGCATATATGTTTTAATCATATGGACGAGTTCAGAGGTTGGACAAATAGGTTCATTGCCTCATACTGCTAAGGAATAAATTTTCCAAATATATTAGACAATAACCCATGAAAGTAAAATCATAAAGATCCCCTCAATATTGATGTAGCCAGCATTAAGCCATCGAGATATCAACCATTACCTCAATGAAAAAATTGAACACCTTGGAACTGAGACCATCCCATATAATGAAGCCATATACCAAGTACGTAAGCACACAGATAAAAGCAATGAACTATGTTAGCATAGACCTCGTGACAGGATGGGAAAACAGATGGTGTGTGTGTATATATGTATGTGTGTCTATATATATATATATATATTTAATGAATTCAAAAAAACTTGAAATGTGTTCACTTTCTATATCTGCAATAATGAGTGGCATATAATCGTCGGAATCGATTACTCAACAACTGCCCACTCCACCTACCCCCACCGCCCATCATGACTCCAACAACTACCAAACCGGTTTTACACAAGTACCCCCGTTGTTACTACCATCAATTGTTGAATATACACAAAAATACATGCCTTTATTTTGATATGCACTAGGACAATCATACAAGTATGACTTATGCTCGGTCAATTCTGCAGCCTGTGAAATCAACATCTGAGTATACCACCAGGTCAAACCCCGAATTATTGGGATACCAAAGACCCAAATTTACTGTACCTTTGAGATATCTCAGTGTCCTTTTTACAGCAATGAGATGTGATTCCTTTAAATTTGCTTGAAAGCGGACGTATAGACATGTTGCAAAAACAATGTCGGGTCTGCTGGATGTGAGATACAATAAGGATCCGGTGATTGCCCAATAATTGGTTGCATCGACGGGTTTCCCTAAGGGGTCTGATTCGAGCTTGCTTGAGGGAGACATTCGGGTTTTCATCGGTGCCTTATTGTCCACTTTGAATCTTTTGAGCATGTCTGGATGTACTTAGACTGATTTTTGAAAATTCCATCTGGAATTTGTATGATCTGCAGCCCAAGAAAGAATTTCAACTCTCCCATCATACTCATTTCGAACTTGGTGCATATAAGATTGCTAAACAATTTTCAAAATTTTGGATTTGACGAAACAAAAAATGATGCCATCCACATAAATTTGTGTCACCATGATGTCATCTTTATGACATTTGATGAAGATTGTTGGGTCTATCTTACCTTTTGAGAAGCATGATTCAACAAGGAAACCTGATAAGGCCTCATGCCAAGCTCTAGCAACTTGTTTCAGTCCATACTGGGCTTTTTTCAGCTTATAAATATGATTAAGGCATTTTGGATCGACAAAACCATATGGTTGTTCAACATAGACCTCTTCTTTTAGGTCTCCATTCAAAAATGCAATTTTCACATCCATTTGATAGGCAGTGAAATTTTCTGAGCTGCATAAGCCAGAAACAGCCTGATGGCCTCAATCCTCGCTACTGGTGCAAAGGTTTTATCGTAGTCGATTCCTTCTTGTTGATTATATCCTTTAATTTAGCAACCAGGCAGGCCTTGTATCTGATGATAATTTCGCCCTCATCCTTTTTATTTTTGAAAACTCATTTGGTGCCTATAATAGTTTTCAGCGAGGCCTAGGCACTAGGGTCCATACTTTCAATCTGTCAAATTGATTCAGCTCCTCCTGCATTACTATTATCCCGTCTGGATCAGTCAGTGCATCTGTCATCTTTGGTTGTTCTTTCTAACTTAGAAAACATGAGAATAAGCATTAATTGGCTAATGCAGTTCTGATGCTGACTCCTCTAGATGGATCACCGGTGATTAGTTTGGGGGTGAGCTCTTGTCCATTTTCTCTCATGAGGGAGAGGCAGTAGAGTTGTGATTGGTCTATTAGGATCGACATATTCAAGAGGATCTTACACATCTATAGGTTCTTTGTGAGGAGTTGGTGTATCATGGTGCTCTGTTTCTGCTGGGAAAGGTCCATCATTGTCCTGATCATGTGTTGGTGCTTCTTCTGATGTTGGTGCGGGTAGCAGATAGGTCTGAATAAGTTCATTGTTTGTAGTTGGTGATGCACATAACTGACTGTAGAAGTGTTCACACAATGAATCTAGTACCACGTGCTGATCTGATCTTGACCCATTTGCTTGTTCTCCCTTTTCAGATGATGATGGTGTCTTTGGATTTTCTGTGGCTGTAGGTTCAGAATGAAAATGTTTTGTTGCCAAGTATGCCATTTCAGAGAAGCGGACATTTATGCTCTTCATCACGGTTCTTCTATCATTCAAATGTACTTTGTATGACTTTGAGTTGGTGGAATACCCAATAAAAATTCCTTTATTTGCCTTACAATCTTCATGTTCTACTGCAGGTAATTTTGTATGGTCCTGATAAACGTCATGATAATGTTTGAAGTTTTGTCCTTGGATCGCAAAAAACTTGGTCCATGTATAACGTGAGTACTCATCCACAATGACCAAAGTGTATTTACATCAATTTATGCTATGCACGCGCATCGGTCCACACAAATCTATGTGAAGTAGACCCGAGGAATGAGATGAAGAGGGAAATTGCTTTGACTTGTGTGATGTCCTCTTCATCTTTCTTAAGTGGCAGGCAGAGCAGTGATGATTGGATGAGTTTTTCATAATAGGAAAACCCTTTACGAGTTTCTTTGACGAAAGGGAGCTGATTTCAGGAAAGTTCAGGTGTGACATCTTGAAATATGTGCCATAGGTTATTTTGTTCCTCTAAGGCTTTTGACAGGAGACAAATGGATATGGTAAATCGTACATATTTCAGATCGATGGTGTAGAAATTGGTTTTTCTCTGACACTTTAACAATGGTTGTCCATCCATATCCACCATATCCATCACACAACATTGCTTAGCACGGAATTTGACTTCCATTCCATTATCACA